CAAATTTGTGAGATTCCTGATAACTGTTGATTACGAGCCACGGACCAATCTGTACCAAAAAAAAAAGATATATGATAATATTATTTGAACCGCTAGTAATTGTCCAGCACATTATAATTTTGTGTAAAACACCAATTTTATACCTTGCAATGAGATTTGTGTTTGTGAAGACGTTTTTTTTTAGATTGGCTTTCAGTATACAGTACTTGGCCTCTCTGGTCATCTCTCACGTCGCTTACAGAACAGTATTTGCATCATTAGTATAGCATGCATTTAAGTAAATGGTCGAGGTATGTCTATTATTTACCGCCAACATAATTTATATGTATTTAATAATTCAGACTATGATAAATGCAATTTTTGGCTTATGTGCTCTTCTAAATGAGATTACATATTTTACCAAACAAACCAATTCTTGGTTTGTACAATGCATGGGTCGCTGAAATAAACATTTTAGGTTAGATGATGTGTTTTACTATCAAAATACGATAGCTGTGAAATGCAGATAGTCAAGACAAATAAGGATACCACTCACTTCTTGGAAGCTCAATAAAATAATGTATGTAAAGATTGTCATATTCATAATTTCTGGCTGAAACTATTTCACCCAAAGCTAACATCCTGAGAACTCCATTTGGAACCTAGGAGAAAATTATACAAAGCTAAAACATAACACACACTACATAAAAATATCAAATTTACACATTGATAATACGAGGGTAGTACAAGGACACTGCAAAGCATGCACAAAGACAGTAAAGTGCAAGTACCAACTGGAGTGTAGTAAAGATAGTACAGCATAAGTATCCACCGATGGGAGGTAGAAGTCAATGTGACATGTACTGCCTGAGTGCATACTTTGTGGTATCCTTTCAATAACCTTATTATTATAATACATCTTCCTAATCAACAGCCCAGAACCATGCAGAGAAAACTGAATTGGGGGCAAATGTCCTTCTGATTTCTAAAAGAACCTGCTTAATTTGTGATGACTATAAATTGGATGATTAAAAAAAGTTAGTTTAATTGTAAATGATTTGTATACCACAAGGTTATCACAAGAATACAGCAAAGAAAGCAGTATGTTGCCAAAAAAGCCAAATTTTGAATAGACAGAGCCCAAAACCTAAGTCCCCATTATGAACTACATCAGACAAAGACTGAAGTTCATAGTACATAACAATTAGTGTCACTTTCTCCTTCAAATGCATGTCTGAGAAATGCAACGAACAAACGAATGAACTAATGCAACTTAAAACACAAGTCCCCATATCAGACTTGGTCCATCAAGGACTAATAAATTCTACAGTACATACAGTAACACAACAAGGCTTTGGTATTAAGGTAGAGATGCACTTTATTTGTGAATTTCAATCAAAAATAGTTTTTTTCGTTTTTTATATAGATTTTTATCTAAAGAACATTCTGTGAAAATTT